AGGCGGGTGGATCACGAGGTCAGGCGATCGAGACCATCCTGGCTAACACGGTGAAACCCCGTCTCTACTAAAAATACAAAAAATTAGCCAGGTGGTCGGGCACGGTGGCTCATGCCTGTAATCCCAGCACTTTGGGAGGCCGAGACGGGCAGATCACGAGGTCAGGAGATCGAGACCATCCTGGCTAACACGGTGAAACCCCGTCTCTACTAAAAAATACAAAAAACTAGCCGGGCGAGGTGGCGGGCGCCTGTAGTCCCAGCTACTTGGGAGGCTGAGGCAGGAGAATGGCATGAACCTGGGAGGCGGAGCTTGCAGTGAGCTGAGATCCAGCCACTGCACTCCAGCCTGGGCGACAGAGCAAGACTCCGTCTCAAAAAAAAAAAAAAAAAAAAAAAAAAATTAGCCAGGCATGGTGGCGGGTGCCTATAGTCCCAGCTGCTCGGGAGCCTGAGGCCGGAGAATGGCGTGAACCTGGAAGGCAGAGGTTGCAGTAAGCAGAGATCGTGCCACCACACTCCAGCCTGGGGGACAGAGTGAGACTCCATCTCAAAAAAAAAAAAAAAAAAAAAAAAAATTAATGAAGGAAGTAATACAGTCTAGCTTTCCTGTCTGAATTTGATCCACTGTTTTAGAGATCCATCCAAGAAAGTAACACTTTCCCAAGATTTTGAGACATTTCTCAAAACCTGGAGTAGAGGTCCTCACTGCTTATTATCCAGAAGGATTGAAAATGAGAACTGCAGCGCCAGAGCCGGTTAGAAAGCTGGCAATTAGAGGCCCAGGTGCTGCTGAGTCCCAGCGGGCTTTCCATGCCACCAGTCACCCTCCCAGCATGGGCTGAGCTGAGCCAGGACAGAACTTACACCTTCCGCTCACTTCCATTTCTAGCCAGTCCAAGTCCCAAAACCTCAAAAATAGGGAAGCCAACAGTGCAGCCTTCAGTCTGTGGCCAGAGGCTCAAGACCCCTGGCCAGCCACTGGCATAGGTCCAAGAGTCCAAAAGCTGAAGAACTTGGAGTCTGACATTTGAGGGCAGGAAGCATCCAGCAGGGGAGAAAGATGAAAGCCAGAAGACTCAGCAAGTATAGTCCTTCCATATTCTTCTGCCTGCTTTTATTCTAGCTGAGCTGGCAGCAGGTTAGATGGTGCCTACCTAGACTGAGGATGGGTCTGCCTCTCCCAGTCCTCTGACTCAAATGTTAATCTCCTTTGGCAACACCCTCACATACACACCCAGGAACAATACTTTATATCCTTCAATCCAATCAAGTTGACACTCAATATTAACCATCACAGCCACTGACTGGGATCTGGACAGCAAATGTGCAAGCATGATCTGTGCCCCTCAGAGCTGGCCATGGGCATCATGCAGTCCTCTTTGTCCTCTGCTCTCCCGCTGGCCAGGAGCATGCAGAAGAGGGGAAGGACAGTTTCAGAAGCTGGGGAGGACAGTTTCTAGAAATATAGACTTGCCACTTGTGCCCAGTGCTGCACTATTAGCGGGCAGGCTTGAGCTCCACTTCCGTAACAGACACCGTAGCATATTGTCTTGTATGTTGAGAGTGGATTCCATGTTACAGCAGAGAAGGAGGCCTCCCAGTGAGCAGGTGGCCAGCAGAGAGGCCTGTGATCAGGAAGAGCAGCCAGATGGGTGGGTCAGTGGTTCTAGCTGCTGGTAAAATTACCCTACACAGGCTGGGTGCGGTGGCTGCTCACACCTAGTAGTCCCAGCACTTTGGGAGGCCAAAGCTGGCTAATCAGTTGCTTGAGTCCAGGAGTTCGAGATCAGCCTGGGCAACATGGCCAAACCCCTTCCCTACAAAAACTACAAAAATTAGCTGGGTGTGGAGGTGCATGCCTGTGGTCCCAGCTACTCGGGAGGCAGAGGTGGGAGGATCGCTAGAGTCCAGGAGGCCGAGGTTGTGGTGAGCCATGATGGCACCACTGCAGGAGGTCAGTGTGAGGCTGGTGTCAGGGGAGGTGACGTGGATGGCTCTGAGGGAGAGGAGATCGTGTGAATTGCTGGTGAAGTTACCCATGCAGGGGTATGTTTGGCCAACCATGCCTGTGGTGGGGGAGGCACTGAGGCTGGGGCTGGTGCTGTTGAATGCTGAAATTTTATCCCTAGTGTGCTTGCATTAGGAGGTGGGGCCTTGGCCGGGCGCGGTGGCTCAAGCCTGTAATCCCAGCACTTTGGGAGGCCGAGACGGGTGAATCACGAGGTCAGGAGATCGAGACCATCCAGCCTAACACGGTGAAACTCCGTCTCTACTAAAAAATACAAAAAACTAGCCGGGCGAGGTGGCAGGCGCCTGTAGTCCCAGCTACTCAGGAGGCTGAGGCAGGAGAATGGCGTAAACCCGGGAGGCGGAGCTTGCAGTGAGCTGAGATCCGGCCACTGCACTCCAGCCTGGGCGACTGAGCGAGACTCCATCTCACAAAAAAAAAAAAAAAAAAAAAAGGAGGTGGGGCCTTTGGAAGGTAATTAGGGCCCTTACAAAAGTGCTTGAGGTTGGCCAGGTGTGGTGGCTTTGGGAGGCCAAGGCAGGAGGATTGCTTAAGCCCAGGAGTTTGAGACTAGTTTGGGTAACAAGGTGAAACCCCATCTCTACCAAAAATTAGTTGGGCGTGGTGGCGCATGCCTGTAGTCCCACTACTGGGGAGGTTGAGGCGGGAGGCTGCAGTGAGCCATGATTGCACCACTGCACTCCAGCCCGGGCGACAGAGCAGGACCGTATCTCAAAAAAAAAAAAAAAAAAAAAAAAAAGAAGAAAGAAAGAAAGAAAAAAAAAGATGTGTATGAGGGAGCTGGCTGCCTCTTCTATCCCTTTCGCCCCTTCGCCAATGAGAGGAAGAGGGCCCTCAGCAGACACCAAATGCCAGTGCCTGGATCTTGGACTTCCCAGGCTTCAGAACCATGAGAAATAAATGTTCACTGTTTTTACAGTACCCAGACTGGCATTTGGTTGAAGCAGCAAAAACTGGCGAAGGCAGACAGTGACCTTCCAGGGAGTCACCGTCTCCTAGGGTGCTTGTGTGGCCAGCCATCCACCTTGGGAAATCCCTGCCTGGCTTCAGAGGCCTCCACCCTCCTCACCCACAGAGGACTTGTTGCCCAGGCAGCCTGCAGGTTCTTGCTGGACCGAGCAGGACAGGGGCCTGGAATCGCTGGTGGGTACACACGGCCTTAGGAAGGCACCGAAGGAGGGGGATCTGTGTAGCACCCCGTGTCGGGGGTTGGGGACTGAAGGGCCTTAGTTCCAGGGTCCCCCACAGGCCTGGAAGCTTTCGAGGGAGCACGTGTGAAAGAGAATAAGCAGGCAACCTGGGCCTGCACCCTCCTCCAAGCAGCAGGTCACAGAACAGCTCCCTCCTTATAGGCTCCCACAGGGAAACCCAAGAGTGACCCATGGGAGGTGCTGCATGCAAGCCTTGGACACATCTGGTGCCCAAGGAGCAGATGCCAGCTTTTTTTTTTTTTTTTTTTTTTTTTTGAGGCGGAGTCTTCACTCTGTCACCCAGGCTGAAGTGCAGTGGCTCGATCTCGGCTCACTGCAAGCTCCGCCTCCCGGGTTAGCGCCATTCTCCTGCCTCAGCCTCCCGAGTAGCTGGGACTACAGGCACCTGCCACTGCGCCCGGCTAATTTTTTGTATTTTAGTAGAGACGGGGTTTCACCGTGTTAGCCAGGATGGTCTCGATCTCCTGACCTCGTGATCCGCCCGCCTCGGCCTCCCAAAGTGCAGGGATTACAGGCGTGAGCCACCGCGCCCGGCCGATGCCAGCTTTTACGATTGTTCTTAGGCAGCCGTGTCACAGCGGAAATCACAGGCTCAGCCTGATCCAGTTGGCTGATGTTCTATTTGTCCTGCCTATGTATTTCCTAAAATTTCTTATTTAGTTGCCAACACTTAAAGACTTCAGAGAGTTCACATAACAATCTAGCTTTCTGACCTCTCTGGAAGAACGGGACGCCTGGCACCTGGGCCCCCATCTCTACATGGTGGCAGTCGGCTGAGCCCCTCTGGATGGAACACAGGCTCCCTGGTTTGCCACATTCCCTACCACTCCTCACTGGCCCCCACCTCCGAGTTTGGGGTTCCTGCTCCGACCTGAGCTCTGTCAGTCAGTGCCCTCCAGCTGCACTCTAAACCCGCTTGGGCTACCTGGTGGAATCTTCCGACGCACAGGCCCACCCAAGCTGGTCTGCTGGTTACACATGCAGCCCCCTCGAGGGGTGGGGTCCCAGTGTAATTATATTTGGATTTGGCTTGGCCAGTAACAGGCCCATAAATGTTACCTCATGTGGTGGAGAAAAGTTTATGATTTTAACATCTGGCACCAGGATTCCTCAGAGGGGCAGAGCTGCCTTGTTTGAAGGATTTGGTGATCAGGGCTTGGGGTAGGAGGGGGGCCCCAGGGTTTGGAGGTGCAGATGTTAGCCCTGTAGGAGCTTGTCTTCCATGAGAGAGGGATTTGTCTTATTTCTGGAGAAGAGTAGACAGGAAAAAAAGGAGAGAGAAGACGGAGGAGAGGACAGGGCCCAGTGAGCCCCAGCAGCCTCACGGCCAAGGTGGAGTGGTCGGAGGCCGTGACAGAAAAGGGCCCGCCAAGCCATTTCTGTCATGGGGACGGAAACCCTTCTCTCCTCCCTCCAGGGGCCTTTGGGACACCCTCCTCTGCTCACTACTGTGCTGGGAGAGCGAGATTTCTGGGGAATGTGGTGAGGGCTGGGCCCCGGTGTGAAGCTGGCCTGGGCTGTCCAGGGTGACCCACACCAGAAGCAGACGGCTGAGGCCATGAGACCCAGAGTCCCAGGTCCTGGCTTGGGATGTCCAGAGACTGTGTAATTAAGGGTGAAAGGTAGGGGAGGTGGGCAGTCCATTTTACTAACAACTTGAGGAACAGGGAAGCCCCAATTGATGTCTGGTTATGACAAAATGGAGCCAGGTTTTCAGAAGGAGACAGACTCAAGTGCCAAAAGGGGAAAAAAGATCTCTGAGCTTATATAAAACAGCCAAGCTGCCAGTTTATTTTGGGCTTCTAGTGGTTTGGGCTGACCAGGCTTGGCGGAGTCTGGGGACCTGCCTCAGGGACTGGCCCCCTGGCCTGGGACCAGGGGTTCTGGGGGCCTGGCTCAATCCAGGGCCTCAGTGGTGGCACACAGCAGGCCAGCCAGAAGAGCCAGGCCCAGCGCAGCCACGGCGACCAGTGCCACGTCCCACAAGACCCCTGAGCGCACCCAGGACGCCTGCAGCTGCCAGCCGCAGCTGCCCAGCTGGTAGCCTGTCAGCTGGCCCAGCGGGCCATGGGCAGCGAGGCTGGGGCTGGCGCAGCGGACCTGCAGCAGGGCCTCAGGTGTGCGGTCCTCCAGCCAGAGGCGCAGATAGGTGAGGCTGCAGTCACAGTGCCACGGGTTCTGCGTCACATCGAGGGTCTGCAGCTGGGGCAGGTGGTCGAAGGCTCCCGGGGGCACGGACTGAAGGCTGTTGTTGGCCAGCAGGAGGTGGCGGGTGCGGGCTGGCAGGGCAGGCAGGGCCGTGAGCCCGCGGCCCCTGCAGTCCACCCACAGCCCCATGGTTTCCAGGGCGCGGCAGGTGCATGGGATAGGGCAGTCCTTGGTGGCCTCTGCTGTGGCCCAGAGCAGGAACAGGGCTTCCCAGGCAGGCATGGGACAGGCTGGCTGCAGAGAGAGGAACTGTGAGGGAGGGCCTGGCAGCTGACCCATCCTCAGGGACGGCAAGCACCGGGGATGCGGCGGAGCCTGACATGGGACGAGGCGCACTCACCTCCCTTCTTGGGTCTCAGCCTTCTCCTCCGGGAAACAGGCTGGTGACTGGGGAAGGTACAGCGTGCCCAACCCAGGCCTGGCTGACCCTCTCTGGACACCGTTGAAGGCAGGGTGGTGAGGGCAGCTGTGGATTGGGGTAAATTTGTTTTTGGGAAGGGGAAGGGACTTCCTGGCCCCTAGCAGAGACCCCATCCCCTACTTGGGGATGAGAGGAGCAGATGGCTGCTAAATGAGTCCCAGCCCAGGACCACAGACCCCAGAGACTAGGAAAGAGCCTTGGAGGGGCCTCCAGGCTGCGCCCAGCACCCCCCGCCAGCTAAGTGAGCTGTTACCTGATTCCCAGATGCAGAAGACAGTGGGATGGGGACACTGACTGGAGCAGGGAGGGGAACCCAGTGGGGCCCCATTTGGAAAGTCACTTATCTGGGCTAACACTGACTTGGGGAAACTGAGGCCCACAGAGGGAAAGCAATGTGCCCAGGGCCACCTGGTGTGGTGTCAGAGGCCAGACTCACACTCGGGTCTCAGGAACCATGGCCCTCTGTTTGGTTCTTCCCCAAAGGCGTTTCCCCTCCACAAGCAGAGCTCCCCCCACCCACAGCAGGTTTCCAGTGAATAAGTGTCAAATCAACTCATTAATCTTGACTCAGCCAAGGAGATGATGTCTCAGAGAGAATGTCCCACCCACCCCTGTCTTGTTAAGGGGACAGGAGTTGACCTCCTCTCTCACTGTGGGAGGCATGTTGGGTAATACAGAGGGCCACTTACCTGTGAAGCCTTCGGTTGGGCACTCCCGCGTGGCCTGAAAGGTCCTGGCTGAGGTCTGGGTGGCAACTCTATGGGATACAGCTGAGGTGGCCCCTGCGGAAGCGGGTGGAAGGAAGTGATGAAAATAGCCTGGCTTATCCCCCCAGTGCAGCCCTGGGGCCTATTTCCAGAGGCTGGAGGCCCTCAGGGGCCCGCGCCTTGGGCACAGAACCACATCTCAACCCCGGTTTATGAAGGGTGTCCCACTGTGCCGCCAGTGCTGTGACTGGCTTTGGGATTGGGTCTCTGGAGGACTGAGGTGGCCCCTCGCCTGCTCCCAGAAGGTGGAGAACTAGGAGACCCCCGAGAAACGTGGCTATGCTAGATGTTTCTCCGAACCTCAGTTTTCCTCATCTGTAAAGTGGGAGCAGTAACCCCGTCCTGCCTGCCTCACAGAGGGCTGGGCAGCTCCCACTGGCTGAGAACACCATGGTGGGGAGAGTGACTTCATTTTTAACTCTCCCTTCTCTTCTTGGTGCCATGGTTTTTAGCTCCTGCCTAGCACTTCCCCATCCCTCTTTCTGACAAACAACTGCAGGCCTGGGAAGCAGAGCTTCTCCCAAGCGTGAGTCTCTAGCTAGAATTTTGGCCTATGGTTTGAACATTTGCAGTACATTTCCTTCTAGAGCACATTCTACTTAGGGAAGGGACACCATTTTCCATTTATGTTAGTGACATAAAGCTTCCTATAAAACATAAATGTAGTTTGGGATGGAGAATTGCTTGAACCCGGGAGGCAGAGGTTGCAGTGAGCTGAGACTATACCACTGCACTCCAGCCTGGGCAACAGAGCGAGACTCCGTATTAATAAATAAATAAAATAAGGTCAAAACACAGAAGTTACAGAAGCCTGGCAGGAAAAGCCAAGGACAAAAGGCTGACGGAAGTTTTAAATGCACTTCATTGACACGCTGGACCCTCGGGAATATTCCTCGGCCCTACAGCGGGGGGGTGCCTGTTCTTATTTTGGTCCCACACCCTTCTCAGGCCAGCCTCCCTCCTCCTGCATGGCCAAGCAGGCTGAGTCCTTCCCCGGGAGGCCTCCTGTTCTCTCCCCCGCCCCCAGTTCTGCTCTTGGGGCAGGAGTTGGGTGTTCACCCTCCTGGGAGGCCCTGAGAGGCTGCCAGGCCCTAGCTCTTCTTCCCCCACCCACTGATCCTGGGCTCAGAGAAGGGTGGAGAAGGTGCTGTTCCCCCACTGAAGTCACGCCTGCTTGGCGGCCTGGTTGCTCCTGGGGGTCCCCTGGTGTGTGCTCAGTGGGGACTCTGACTGGAGCCTGGACCCTGGAGAGGAGCCTCAGCCTGTCAGGGCCTTCCCTCCCTCCCCATGGAGCCCTGGCATGTTCCGCCTCCTCTGCCCTGCACACATTCACCAGTGAGCCCCACGCAGGTGGGTAAGGGGTTCTGGAGTGAGTGGGGGCGCTGAAGCCGCCAGGCCAGGTGTCCTGAGTAGGGCTGGTGGGGCCCGTGCCCTCCTTCCTCTTGAGCCTCTGAGATTTCCTTATTTTCAGCATGTACAACTTAAAACGAAAAACTACATCAACATAGAGGGGTTTCGTGAATTTAAAAAACTACATAAATAATAAATAAATGATTTTCATTGTGGGAAATTAGAATATTCAGATGAACAGGAAGAAGAAAATAAAAATTTCCCCCCCATCCCCACATGAGGCAAGACTGTCTTTTTTTCCCCATGTGTACTTACCCATATGGGTAAATACACACCCATCTGTCCAAGAGGGACAGGATAATGCAGGAACTCGATCTGCGGACAGCCTGGATGAGCCTGCAAGTGGATTCTCCCAGAGCCTCCAGAGAGGAATGCAGCCCTGCCAGGTGAGCCCTGTTGTGGGAGCTCACCCGCCCTGCATCACCTTGATTTCCACCTACAAGGGATGCAGGGCAGGTGAGTCCCCACACCAGGGCTTAGCCGCTGAGGGCTCTTGGCTTGGGCCAGGATAGAAGTCAAAGAGCCAGTGGTGAAGAAAGCCGCTTTATATTCATTACATGTAATTTAAGGAGCAGGTTATTTAGAACTTTCTAGAAAAGGGGTGGTGAGTTTCCAGAACCCTGTAACTTTCAGGTTGTTGCCATGGCATGTTGCCATGGCATTTGTAAACTACCATGGTGTGGGTAGGGGATGTCTATGTTAGAGAGCAGTGAGGACAACTAGTGGTTGTTTTTGTCCCCATCTGCTGGTTTCTGGTTTCTGCCAGCTTCTTCGCTACACCTTGTTTCAACCAGATCCTGCTGCTGTCAGCAGGATGGTAACCAGGGGTCCTGACAGGTGCTCAGAAAACAGGTCCTGCTGATCTACCTCAGGAAGGCTGGAAGAAAAGAGCCCACAGGAGCTGCGTGATGAAGAGTGAGAAAATAAATGTGTGATGTATTAAGCCTCTTGTGACAGCAGCAACAGGAACCAAGGCAAAGGCCAAGCCCCGCTCTCGTGCTCTGAGTTCTCCCCTCTTCACCATTCCAGGACATTGCCCCATCAGGTGCCCCTTCCTCTGCATCATCAGTTTCTCCTTCACTGGGTCATTCCATCAGGTTAGGAGCAGCCAGGCTGGGCATGGTGGCTCACGCCTGTAATCCCAGCACTTTGGGATGCTGAGGTGGGTGGATCACTTTAGGTTGTGGGTTTGAGACCAGCCTGACCAACATGGAGAAACACTGTCTCTACTAAAAATATAAAATTAGCTGGGGGTGGTGACGCATGCCTGTAATCCCAGCTACTTGGGAGGTGGAGGCAGGAGAATCACTTGAACCCAGGAAGCAGAGGCTGTGGTCAGCCGAGATCGCGCCATTGCACTCCAGACTGGGTAACAAGAACAAAACTCCATCTCAAAAAAACAAAAAAAAACAAAACAAAACAACAAAAAAAAGCAGCCTATAATACTGCCCCTTTGAAAAATCCTGCCTTAATTTTTCTGCTTCTCTCTTCCATAAAACTCCTCTGAAGAGTCACTTCTCCTTCCTGTCCAACCCATCAGTAATTCCTGTCATTTCAGCCACCAGGATCTATTCAGAACTTAACCACTTCTCCCTGTGCTGCTTCTGCTCTGGTCTTCATTAGCCTTCTTGGCTTCCCATCGCAAATAAAAGAAAGCCCGTGCCCCTGTGGTCAGGAAGCTACAGGCCCCGCTGTAGCTTGGCCCCTATCTGTTTCTTGACCCCATCACCCACTCTCTACTTTGCTCATCAATGTCCAGCCACACCGATTTTCTTTCTGTTGCTCGAACACTCCAGCACTTTCTTGCCTCAGGGCCTTTGCACTTGCTGTTCCCTCTGCCTGGAGTGCCCTTCCCCCAGGGCCCCACATGGCTTCCTCCTGATCATCATTCTCATCTCAATTCAGATGACCCCTCCTCAAAGGCCTCCCTCGCCAAGGCAGAGCTCCATCCTTCTGTACCAAAATACTCCATTTCATATTTTCCGTAGCATTGAGCAGGATCTGAAATGATCTTATTTTTACATTTTTATGTGTTTATTAAATGTCTCCTCCCATTGATGTGAGAGTCAAGAGGGCAGAGACTCTGTCCCATTAACTCTTACCTCCCCAGCACCTCTGCCTGGCCCATGGGCATTATGTAATACATACTCGTCAGCCTTGCTGGCCGTCTCTTCTCTAGTGCTTTTTTTTTTTTTTTTTTTTTTTTTTTTTTTTGAGAGGAAGTCTCGCTGTGTCTCCCAGGCTGGAGTGCAGTGGCGCGATCTCGGCTCACTGCAAGCTCCGCCTCCCGAGTTCACGCCATTCTCCTGCCTCAGCCTCCCAAGTAGCTGGGACTACAGGCGCCCGCCACCTCGCCTGGCTAATTTTTTGTATTTTTAGTAGAGACAGGGTTTCACCGTGTTAGCCAGGATGGTCTCGATCTCCTGGCCTCGTGATCCACCCACCTCGGCCTCCCAAAGTGCTGGGAAGTGCTGGTCTTATCTGTGTCTTGTCAGGACTGTTGTCTCCTTGATGCCGGCCTCTGCCTCTGCTATACAGATTTAATCTCACCACGCCCCTGCTCCGTTTGTCTTTCATGGTTCCCCGCTGTCTTCAGGACATCCTCTGCCACCCTGTTCAGCCTCACCTGTCATCTCTTCCTGATCTGAAGCTTCGTGGTAGGCTAGCCATGTCCCTCACTCCCCACCCACACGCAGACTTTTGTCTCTGTGCTTTTGCCTCTGCCCTGCCCTCTTTCTGGAGCCCTGTGGAATTTCTGCCTGGCACACTGCATCCTTTAAGATTCACCAGGAGCATGACCTCTTACAGGAAGCCCTCCCCGATGCACTCACCCAGCCATTTGCTTATCTGTCTGCACATGGGCCCAGCAGCTCCTTGGAGAACCTCAGCACCTACTAGGGAAGTGTTCGCAGATCTTGTGACTAAAATTTGGTTGAGCCTCTCAGGCAATTTCAGGTGATACATGCCTATGACACAAATAACGAGAAACATGAGGGAGAGAGCCACTCCTTTCTTGTCCCCTAAGCTGAAGGAAACAGCCTCTGTTTGGTAATTGTACTATAAAGGGAACTGCTTAGGCAAACTTACTTTGAAGGCTGGGATCTTTCAATATCCCCCAAGACAAATTTTCCTTCTCATGGGAAGCAGAGGGGATCGAGAGGCAGTGATTATTAGGTAGCATTTTTAGCCTCTGTGTGACCAGGAGGAAATGGGTAACCCTGTCTGCCGCTGCTGGGCCCCCTTGGAGCAGAGCCTCTGCTTGCTGGATCTTTGCAGATGCAGGTCTCCATCACCCCGGCTGTTCTGAGCCAGCCTGTGGAGCAGCCTGCCTCGCTCTGAAACGTGATTTTGCTATTTACTTGCTCTGTGACCTTGGGCAATAGTCGCAGCCTATCTCTGCCTCAGTTTCCTCATCTGCAGAATGGGGAAAGTCAAAGACCCCACCTTCCTGACTGCTGTGAGGAAGGAGTGAGATAAGCCTGGCAGATGCTTTGCTGGGGGTCTGGCCACAGCAGGCACTGTGGAAGTCACCATGGGCAGGGGCCACTGGCACACTGTCAGGGAAGAAAGGGGGGCCTGATAGCCAGGCGC